AATGTGTTGTTAGTAAATTAGTTGATATTTGATGTAAGAATTTTGTGTGATACCACTGCTGAGGGTCTGGATTTCGAAAACGACAGTTTTTGGGCTTTTGTGTCCTACAGTATGGAAAAAAGAAACATATACCTTCGCTGTTTGCTCTTCTTTTCGAGTTAGACAACTAAAGAACAAAAAGACGAGTAAAATAGCAAGGCCCTTTCTACAATGCGGAACTGCGGGGTGCTCGGTGAAAGGTGGGTGGCGTGCTCTGACTAGGTTCTAAAAATCAGTAAATTTTATAAGCTCATTTAAATTTCCCAGGCTTCATAAAAGGCTCGATTTTAAGTGGAATTCAATTTAATTGGTTAAGGGTTTAAAATTTTAATTTAAAAATTTTAAATTTAAATATTGAATTAAGTGAAGGGAGATTTGAAAATGAGAAAATCTATCCCTTTATCTTTTTAGATGCATCAAAAACTTGTATTTTATTTCAAAAATTGCAAATTTATGGATTCGGCTTGCAAACCAAAAATCGTTTTAGAAATTAGGCTAAACAAACTAGTGTTGGAAGCATTGAGCATTCTATGAAGGGCGTTATTCTGTTGCCCATAAGAAAATGCTGCAGGGACAAGGCAGAAGAGGTAAAAAGTTCAAGAAAAGCACAACGGTGGTAGTACTGTAGTAGTCATGCCATAGATTGAAGGGGACAACCATGTACAGTCAGAGAAAAGTATCAGGAATTGGAATTTATGCAAGTTTAGAGGCCTCAGCCTCGCCAACCATTGAGACAGAGAAGCTGGATCATACGTTTACTTTTCTCACATTGATTTTAACTGAATCAAAATTACCGTATAATCCTAGGATCTTATCGACGATTTCTGTGTTAAAATTTAAGGGCAGAATTACAAAGTAGAATAAAATGTAAAAACAGTATATCTACCTTTTCAGATATGAAAACAATGGACTGGATTACAATTTACAAAGTAAGAAACATAAATTACATATTTCTAACACAGAATTCATGCAAATGCATCTGTGTAAAACAGCAAAAAGTTATTGGGTCTCTGAAAATGATGGGTGGACTTGTAACATGAAAATGCTTTGGTGTTGCCCTGATTTCCTTGGTTATGCATGAGGAGCAGTTAATTGGCTGTCACCACTGCCCCAGCCACTTCAGAATTAACATTTTAATGGTCCATTAGTTTGAGAAGCATTGCCTACGAAAACAACCAAAAAATGTTAAGGGTAGAAGTCAAGAGTACATCTAAGAAAGCTCCAAATGACTTATACAAAGTCCAACCAGGTTGCCCTGGAGAATTTGTAAATTGCACATACACGGAAACAATTATTTGAGAGTAACTTACTGGACAGGAATGATATGATTTCAATCCCTCATGAAGTTCAGCTGATGAAATGAGAAGCTTTACAGGACGAAAATCAATAGATTGACTGCTTCCTCGAGTATCAGTAAAACGAATTATCTCCCGTTGTAGAAGGTGTTCAAATGCCTGCAAAAGTTATCGCACAACATCATCAAATATTTATATATATCTACAAGAATTCCCTCTCTCTCTTTTTCTTTTCTTGTGGTGGTGCAGGGTAGGTGGAATGGCAGCTTGATATATACACACCCGTAAACAAACATTTCTTGAATAATAGTCGGATGTCTTGAATGAGTCATGTATGCTCTTGTACTCTGACAAACAAACACAAACATGTAAGTAATTGAAATATCTAATGCTGGTAATAAAATAAGAGACAACTTCAATTTACCTGTCATCACAGAATGGAAGTTGTATGAGTTCTGCTCCTTAACTTCTAATCTTCTCATGCATACTAGAAGATAGAGTTCCGCTATGGAACAATCTGCTCAGACCATGATCCCAGTAATGAAAAACAAATAAAAGATTATCATTGTTTGCATCATGAGGCGATACGACAACTACCAGTCTAATTACCATGCTTTTCATTCAGTAGTATTCAAACATAAAAGGCTGCTGCATAATCTTCATACCTCTGATGCATTCCATCTTGGGCTGCCGTTGAATACTGGAAAGTGCAGTTTTGAAATTCTCAAGTGATAGGAAGCCAGATTCCAGATCCATATAAGAAACAGCTTGAAATCTAGTGTCAAGCAGTCAGCACAGCAGATGATAAAAGTAAAACGTGAAAATTGAAACAGGTGACAATAATATAACATTATGTGTCCCCAGAAGCAAGAATAGAAACTTACAGGAATCTCATCAAGTGGTTAACAGTGAAATTGGAATTTAAATACGTATCAATTATTTGTTTGAATCTCGCATCTGCTAGAGTTGCCTGTAAATTGTCAAGGAATTCATAGATAAAACTGACAGAACAGATCCTTGGAGATACATATAATGGAAGTATCATCACATATCATCTCAAACTATTAACAATTTATTAAAAACAAACTTTTCAATAAATTTATCAGTAGATAGATAAAGGGATTTACTTTCTACAGATAACGACAAGAAAATGAGCTTCTATCTATTGAAAGCTCATTAGCTAACATGTGTTTGAAAATATAATGTGCCTCAGGAGCATGGAAAAGATATATAATCAATGCATTTCGTTATTTTTAGTTTGCAAAGAGCAATGAACTCCTAAATACCCCCAAAAAATGGAACAAAGTAAATTAGAAATGCAAGGTCATGCATATGGAAGAGCATTCTCAGAATGATAATTATCCTTCCTTTCATTCCTTTTCCCCCACTTTAGATATATTCTTCTATCACTATTCATTTCATTAAGAGAATCATTTGAGGGAAGGATACTTTAAGCTTTCCGTTGAATTCGGCAGCATACTTATGAGGAAGGCTTGAATCCAAAGGCAAAGCCAAAAGGTGGTCCAACAATCTGCATAGGAAGATGTAAGAAAAAGATTGCCCTTTGTTAAGTTAGGCAATATCTTAGGTCAGTCAATACATAAAAGTACCTTTCTATGTCCTCCTTGGATGGAGGAAGAAACAAAAGCTTTCTATGTGAGAAACGAGATCTCACTCTTTTTTCAAGAAGTTGGTCAGCATCCTGCAGAGTTTACAGGCTGATATTTCAGGGCTCTTGACAAGTAATGACATCCAAGTCAGGCAGTATCAAGTTCTCATTTCATTTTTTAACCTAGTTGTTTTGAGTCCCAAGTTCAAGGATAACAATTCAAAAGAAGGAATAAGCTTATTTATTTATTACTGTACAAATGGGTAAAAAAGAAAAAGAAAATGTAAGACTATTCAATATAACGCACCATCCGACAACTCACACCAATGACAACAGCTTGTGATGTTACCGACTGCATTGCGTCTAGTAAGCTATAGAGTAACTTTTGTTTTCCCTGCGACAAACCAGATAAAATAACCATTTATGTCCTGGCTATTTTGGACAGAAAAGAGTATTCATAGAACTAAATGTTGATGTCCTTGCTATTAATCATCATCTTCCACATCTTTTGGATGTGAGATGGGATGATTTATTTCATCCCTCCAAAATATAGAGAATAGAATTGATAAAAGTTTCAAGGTTTTACCTGAGCAAATAGATCAAACTCATCAAGTACAAAGGCGATTGTTTTATGTGCTAATCCACATTCTCTGCCAAACGTAAACCACAAAATTAAGTTTAAAACATTAACAGAAGATTTGAACTGAACTAATGACGAGAAAAGAACATAATAGGAAAAACCAATAAACTAACCGCAACATCGCTATCATAAACTGGGAGTTATCATCAAACGATGCCTGCAAAAAATATCCCTATTTAGGAACTTAATTATTCAAAGCACATATGAATTTCAATTACCTTAAATAGATATTTCACAGTACCATTTTTGAGAACAGCAGTTGATGCTCCACACATAACTGTCTAGCAATCTCCTGAAGGATGGATATGCATAACAAACATACAAGAGAGAAATTATGATTAAATAACTTACTGAGAATATATTCTCCAAAAATAGCAGGTAAACTAGATAGCTTAAAACTCAGTATCATTGTGACCCAAGGATGACAAGCATCAAATGAAAGGGAAAAAACATCTCACCTTGAATGCACTAATGTCATCATTGTGCAAAAGACCATTCAATTTGATCTGCATCATGACGTCGACGGAAAGAAAACATAAAAAACACAAATTTCATGAAAAATGGACATTCTGACGAGTTAGAATCCGCCCATACCACAGATATTGCATCAGGATATTCTTGCAACAAATCACCGAGAACAAGATCCAGAACCTAATTGCACGAGCAAAATAAAGAAAATTACAATAAACATGTTCAAAATCCCTCTTCAAAACTGCAATAAGAAACTTGACAGAAAATAGAGGCATACCGCGACTTTCCCCGACCCCCGCGGACCAAGAAGCAGAATGGAATTGTTGGATGCCTCAGTGATTGAACTTGATATTATAAACCTCAACTTGCTGTAAATCGAGAAGAAAATTCGGAATCAACAAAACAAAATAGAGTTTGTTAAGCATACATGGTTGGGTATTCCTGTGAATTGCAAGTTAAGAGAGAAATTGGACCTGTAGTTGCTTTCGGGAGAATCGGAGAAGAGCCTGAAGATGAAATTAGGGTTACAGAGTCTGCTTCGAAGGAGATTTAGAACTTCCTCTGACGGATTTCGTTTTTGTCTTTGTTTTTCCTTTTCTTTGTCTCTCCCCATTGATTTCTGGATTCCCTCTCTCCGGCGCACAGTCTGAGATTCAGGGAAATGGCGGGAAAATGAGACCAAGCGGTACTTAGAGCTGGCGGTAGGGTTTTTTTTTTTTTTTTTTTTTAACTTGGACTGGGCCCTTTAACTTTCTCAGACTATTAGCCCAATAATCCAAATCTTAGTTTAAAACCTGTTCGGCCCAATGTTCCTGGGCCTGAATTGGGTTAAAAATATCACGGGTCAAATATGGGACCGATCGTTCACCGTTCAGATGATATGTCGTTGAACCGTTTTTACATTTCCTGCTAAGTCGGAGAGAGATGGGAAGCACGGCCACCAGCACGGCTTTAATCTCCCATTTTCAGCTGAACAAGTGCTGTTCAAGACTCCTCGACTCAACCAGGACTCGCCTGAACCTGAGTTCTGTACGAGTCAGCAGTTCAAGGAAGAGGAGTTTAGGACTCAGTGCTTCGCGGAGCCGGAGAAGTTTCGATGGCGCCGTTTGTTTCGCTGCCGTCGATGATGAGTTGAGGGAAAATCAGCAGGAATTGAGCACCAGTGGCGGTGTTGACTCTGCCATCGACGATAGGCCTGGTAAAACCGTAAACGAAAAGCTTGTTTTTTGAATTGTAATTCGTGTGAAATGAACAGGAAAATTTTAGTAGGATTCAGTTTATGATTCGAAAGAAGAGAAGATAATTGTGCTTGGAAATTACTTTGGATGCTTTTGGAAGCATGATATGTTTCAAATTCTGCAAAGTATCTATTATTGAAAAATTATCTATGTATTGCTTACATTCTTTCCCATCATATCCTACCGATACTGATTTGTTTTATTTTTTATTTTTTCAATGTATTTTAAGTAGCTATTATCTAGAAAAGATCAAGTTCGAAAAAAAGTTTCAGGAACAAGATACCTTTCTAAAAATATTTTCCTCGGGAATTTTAATTCTTAATCTAGCTATTGATCTTATAAACCCAAGGAAATAGACGAAATTATTGATTCTCTTGCTGTTGGAAGAATGCTGACATATCCTGTATGGTGGATAATGTAGAGTTGGCTAATGTCTCTAGAGAGGAAACACCGCAAAGTTTTGAGCAGGATGACGAGCGAAGTGCACTTTATAATTTCCTTTATCCTGATCAAGAGCTCCTTCCTGATGATAAAGAAATGAGTATGTTTGATCATCTGGAAGAGCTTCGGCAGAGATTATTTGTGTCAGTTTTGGCAGTTGGAGGAGCTATCTTGGGCTGCTTTGCATTTTCAAAGGAACTCATAATGGTTCTTGAAGCTCCTGTTAGAGCACAAGGTGTGCGGTTTCTGCAACTAGCACCTGGCGAGTTTTTCTTCACAACTTTAAAGGTTAAGTTTGAATGATGACTCTTATAAAAACCATTTTCACCTTTTTTTCTCAGCTGTGGATATATTTATTGGAGTAAATTTAATGTCTATTTCTTGTGTCTGTCAGAGTCCTGAAATGTGTTAAATATTTCAGTCTGCATATGTTTAGACCTTGAATGATCCAATGTGAATGTATTCAACTATGTTTAACTAAGAATTTAGTTGCTTTTACTCTCTAATGCTTGTGGAAAAAAGTGAACAAAAATAAACTACTTCTAGTAACTTTGGATTTTTTTATTTTTTATTTTTTGGTGCTGCAGGTGTCAGGATATTGTGGCCTTCTTTTAGGGAGCCCGATTATTCTGTACGAGATCATAGCCTTTGTTCTTCCAGGATTAACAAGAGCAGAGAGAAGGTTTCTGGGGCCTATTGTTTTGGGCTCCTCAGTGCTTTTCTATGCTGGCATTATCTTCTCATACTTGGTTCTGACTCCAGCAGCCTTAAATTTCTTTGTTAGTTATGCTGAAGGGGTTGTGGAGTCTTTGTGGTCTATTGATCAATATTTTGAGTTTGTACTGGTGCTCATGTTCAGCACAGGCTTGTCTTTCCAGGTAAACGTTCTTTCAAGCTATCTCTTTTTCATAGGAGAAAAAAAGGGTTATATCTTTCTTCTGTGGGCTAATCATTGTCTACATAGTCTTGTCTTCATGGTCATAGATAGTTATTTTCTATGTATATTTTACAGAAAGTATCACTGGTTTCATTAGTTTCAAACCTCATAGCCTGAGAAAGAAGCTAGGATAATGTCTGTTAATGAATCTGAGTAATAGACAAAAGGAGTAAGAAGAATCTAAACATGTTGGCCAAGAATTAAGTTAATTATGTTGTTGGTGTGTGGATTTTGAGCATGAAAAGCCACATGAACTGCACATATCGTTCTTTTACAATTGGTTTTGTTTGTCATTAATCACAGCTTCTTCCTTCTTTTATTAGGTAGTTTGTAGATTCAATAACCATTTCAAACAGAGAAGAAAATTTTTGTTTAAAATAAACAAACCTACGGTCCTGCCTAAGCAACTCTAATTTTTGGCCATTTAGATGCTTTAGCTCCTCTGCTTATGAGCCCCTTTTGGGTTATTATACAGGTTCCTGTTATACAATTTCTTCTCGGACAAGTCGGACTAGTTTCGGGAGACCAGATGCTTTCGATTTGGAGATATGTTGTGGTTGGTGCAGTTGTTGTAGCGGCTGTGCTTACACCTTCAACAGATCCTCTTACCCAGTTGCTTCTGGCAGCACCTTTGTTGGGTCTTTACTTGGGTGGTGCATGGGTTGTAAAGCTTACTGGCCGGTGATTGACTCGGTCTTCAATCCAGTTAACAACTACTGGTATACTCCCACAATTTGTCTCACGTTAAGCATGGTGTCAATTTGAAGAGGGTAGGGGTATAAAACTGCCACTTCAAACTTCTGACAAATTTGTATAATCATTGTAGAAATAATGTCAGTATATGCAAATTTATCAGTCCATAGCTGTGTGTATTCATACTTCATGGCCATCGGTGGTGTCAAGACCTCTCTCATATGATAGTATGAAACAAAGAACAAGAAGCTATCATATCATATAATAGAATGGAAGGCTAAAAACTAACATAACAGACTCATATATCTTAACAAGTTTGGACATAAAATTTTTTATCATTCCCTCTAATTGCTCAAAGCAACATTCTGTAATTTGTCTACTATATCTCCTGTATCAGAGCAATCCAGTTGATGTAACATTTGTTTAATGGAGGTCTTCAAATCGTTGCATGACTGAACAAAGGACTCGGATGAGCTCTTAAAACTTTCCACCTCTACTTGTACTTCATCAATATTGCTTGATATTTTTTCCAAAGCCACCCTAATGGCAGGAAGCTCTTGTGGGGGATAAAGACAGGCCCCAAGTTCATCAATCTGTGCTCCAACTCCTCGACAAAGCTTCAATAATTTCTCCAAAGCATCAACAAATTTTCCATTGTCATCTGGGTTTTCCAACTTAAGCAAACCTGTGATGGCACGGATAAGTTCCTTTATGGTTGCAAGCGTCTCAGACACAACTCCAATTGCTACTTGAGCGACTTTCATTTCTTCCTCTGATAAATCATTGCCTAGGTCATCCTCACTTAAACTATCTTCTTCATGGAGCTTCTTCTCTGGTTCTGTGGAAGCATTGTCAGAAGTTTCAACTGTTTCATCAGAGGAAACTGGCTTGAGCTCTTTCATCTCACGAAGAACATCTTTCACAGAAACTGCAACTTGTGTCATTGCTCGCCCAATTGCTGTGATATTTGTTGCAGGAGCCTTCTTAAGAGCAGAACAGGCCTCCCATACAGCGCCAACAAACTGTGGGATTGAGTTTTTTTTGTCCTTATTGCGAGATCCTGCTAGTATTGAAGGGAACTACATAAAATACCATATATATGGTGACGCACTGATGTAGAACTGCTTCACTTTAGGTATGGAAAAGAGAAAAACAAAAATTTCACAAGCAAAAGTATGTCGTTGAAAAGAAACATTGACCATTGGAGCTCTACTCTTGTTTAAGATTGTTTTACTGTCTTCAACATTCCTTCAGTATTCCTTCAATACTCTCTATTTTCCACTATTTTCAATGCAATGCTTGATGGCCTATGCGAACTAAATTAAAGATGACAGTCCCACAGCATGAGCAGATGCAAAGTGAAGACAAATGCTAGTAACCTAGAAAGCAGTTATGTAGTTGTGTATAAGAACATGACTAACAGCATGCGATGCAGATAATTAGAATAGATGACTCTAGCACTTTGACTTGCTGGATGATGCTTATGCATCACAAAGAAAAGAAGGGGCAACATACCATATAAATCGACAGATTCCTGCAATAACTTAAAGCTGCAATCAACGGCTTGCCTCACAGATTCATGGATACTAGAGGAAAGAGTTGGTCCTGCACCAACAGTACTTCCATGGGAAAGCAAGAGGAAACCCTGTAGCACATTGAAATACGACTCCATGGTCTCTTCAATCGCTTTAGCTTCAGGTGCTTCTCCAGCCCAAAGCATTCCAACTAAACAAGAGACACAACAATCAACAACCTCATCCCATGCCAAAATGCCATTATGAGACCAGTGGGCATAAAAACAATAATATCAAGTACAGAGGTAAGTTGCAAATACAATAAATCTATTCATGCTTTTGCAGCAAAGGGATAAAATAGCCACAAAGTTGCTTGATTGCATCAAATTGACACATCATAAGCATAAAAAAGCAAACCCATTTCATTAGAACCTCAAATATTTTTGTGGGATTGCTAGAATAACCATACAGAATAGAAAGAGAAGAAATGATAGATAGTACCAACAGTAGCTTGTTTGGAGAGCTGTTCACCCATCTGTATGACCTGGTTCCAGCTGACTTTCTCCAGGGAAGATGGTGGCGCTTGATCCAACACCTGAATTCATATACCCAAAACAATCTATCACCCATCAACATCAGACATCAGACACTCCAGACTCAAGCTTACACAGGATATGGGTCGAGAGCAGAGAAAAGTAAAGAAAAAAAAAACCTGGAAGGTCTCATGGATGGTGTTAAGGCCCGAATTCAGGGCTCTATTAAGCCGCTCTTTCTCTGCTTTTCCCATTTCTGCTCTTCGGTTCCGGCGGTGGTTGTGGGTTCGGCTGTGGGGTTTAAGGGGTTGGGGTTGGAACTTGGAAGCATTGTTGGGTAGGGAACGACATCGTTTGCCTGTTGAAAAGTCAACCCCTGGGTGCTGCTACGGAGGTGTTTGGATATAGGGTTGCCGCTAGAAGGCGCGGGCTGTTAACGACGTCGTTCAAGGATAAAGTTACGCAGCGCGTCCAAGGATTGAAGTCTTATGATTTACGAACAAATCAATAATCACCTCAATTAATTTCTTTTTGTTATCATTCGATTTACGGCGAATGTTTTACCTTTTTTATCCTCTCATTTCTCTATTTTTTATGTATTTATATATTAAATAATAGTATAATTTT